AATAAACTCATAGTTTGGAAGTAAATGAGGGTTAGTAAATGATGACTGAATTTTCATTTTTGAGTAAAATATTCCTTTAAGTGAAAAATGACACCTTTTTAGCAGGTTAGAGAGATTCACTCAATGACTAAAATTAAAAAAAAAAAACTATTCAATTGCTACACTGCTAAAAGTACAGAATTGTTTTTAGAATGGAGGTTTCATTTTGTTCTAGTGTTCTGTTTAGAACAAAAACAAATAGTAAAGTGCAATTATAGGGGGACTTCTGATTTATGATGTGTGCAATATTTCAACGTTAAATTAAAGTTTACCATCCTTGCTTTGTTAAAACTCCTAAGTGTTTGGCAAATTTTACATGACGATTTTTAATAAAATAATCAAGTATCACTTAATTGTGTACCGTCACTCATTTCCATTCTCACTCTCCTACAAAGATTGTAATGTGACAGATCTCCCATATTTGATATGACAACAATTATTTACACCCAGAACAATTAGATTTGAATTCTTAGCGGTTATAAACAGTCTCTCTGTGCTCTGTAAGGTCTGATCCCAGGTCAATTCCAAGACGGAGTCAATTCTAATTCTATGTGAGGAACTGGCTCCTCCTGATCTATGTAACGATTGGGTCTCCGTATGCACAGTAGTGCTCGATGGCGAGATTGTACCAGTTTCCTTTCCTTCCCTTATAGGCACTGGTGACAATCCTGGCCCAGCCTGACTCTCCCTATAAAACACAAGACAAACAGTTTAATCACAGTGACTTACAATACAAGAGCATACACAATTCCACCAGAGAGAAGCAGAGAGTAAAGGTTTCTGAAAGTTGAAACACCCCAAGTGAGGGTGAGTAAATGACATAATTTTCATTTTCAAGGTAAATTTTTTCTTTAATGTGTTTAATTTCTTCAATGCTTTTTTTCTTAAATCCACAGGTCTCATGCGGTTATTGTAAAGCTGAACAGGTCAGACCAAAGCCCTTTGAAGGCCGCTGTAACTCTACTAACCCAGAACTCGCCCCAGGAGTTTCTGACGATCCAGTATTCGGTCCCGTCCTCTGTGACGTCCCAGCCTGCCACTGAGATGATGTGATTCGGCATAGACAGAATGTGAAATTCAGCAAAAACCCCTCCATCATACGCCTCCAGGCCTTCAGTGGCCATTATTGCACAGCTACAACACAGAGAAACAAAGAAACTGTTCTGACACAGCGGCAAAGTTCACTGGTATAGACAAAATCAAGCTGAAATTTGATTAAAGCCCATCTAAAATAGCTTGAATTGAATTAATGCACCAACTGTAAACTGGTGTTATTTTAGTATCACTGAGATACTATTATAGTTTTTATTAAT